ATAGGATTTTAAAAAAATCTTGTTTAATTTTCTTTTCTTTCTTTTTTTTTTTTAAATTAGTTTTTATTAAAGAATAAACAAACAAATATTTGTTAGGCCAAAGCCCACATCAAAGCCTGAACAAGATAAAACCACTACTGGGCACCAAGCCTAAACCAAAATAAAACTATATGTTAAGCTCAAAGCCCAAACATTGACTAGGGTAGATCCACTTGAAGCCCAAAAAACCAATAAACACTTCCAAAGCATGACAATCAATGCAGTGGGCGGTGGCAACAGTGAGCGATTACCATTCTCTAGGTTGCTTGAAGAATTATGGTGGTTGTTCATCTTTTTAGCGAGAAAGGCAAAGAAAGTATTTTAGAGAAAGGAAACAAAGTCTGAAATGAAGAAAGAAGCAAAAAAGTAAACTTTTTTAGCAAACCAAAATTATGCCATTTATGGGAAGTGAAGGCAGTTGGGTCATTTGACTCGATTTGAAATTCACAACTTGCACCGCTCTAACTGATCCAACTTACAAGCTACTTCTGACTTGGCCTATAGGTTGGTGTGCCCAATTATTTGGTGTAGAACTTGAAATAAGCCACTTTGGAAATAAAGACTAAGTCTAGTGCCAAACTTAAGCCCTTTTTGAATAAGGTAGTAGCCCAAATTTTTAGGTACTTCTTTTTTTTTTACTTATTTGTTTAGATTAGAAAATATTAAATTATTGGATTATAGAAGTATAAAAATATGATTTAATAAGATAAGTTAGCAATAATTAAAATAATTTGTAATTCAATTATAAAAATAAATCATAACTATTTGAAGATAAAACTTTTTAAAAATTACAAATGATTAATTTTTTTATGAAATTTCTAAGAGAGAAATTTTTTTCTAAATTTGACCCAAATGGAGGAAAAATTTAGATAAAGTTTCAATAACAATAATTAATATTTATTTTCAATTTACAAATTAAAAAATATAAATAAATTTAATAAAATTTTGGGAATGAATTAATAATTATCCTATAATGAGATTCTTAGAAATTTCAAATGGTGAATTTTTTAAGAAATCTTTAAGTGAGAAATTTCTCTAAATTCATATCCAAATGGTGGAATAATTTAGACGAAATTTCATTAATAGTAATTTACTTCTTTTCCAAATTAAAAAGTAAAAATATGAGTTGTAAATTTATATGAAAATATATGACAATTATCCAAGGATAAAATCTCAAAAAAAAAAAATCACTAATGGCTAAATTTCTATAAGATTTCTAGGTGAAAAGTTTTTCTAAATTCAACCCAAATGGTAGAAGAATTTAGATAAGACTTTAAAAAAAATGTCATTTTATTTTCATTCTAAAAATTTGAAAATAAAAAAATAAAAAATAATATTCAATAATAAGAGTCTGAATTCTAGGAAAGATATTTCTAAATTTGGCCTGAATGGTGAAAATTTTAGAAATCTCTAGTTGAGGAAATATTTCTAATTTAGGTCCAAATAGTGAAAAAATTAGATATATTTTTCGCAAAACAAAATTAAAAAAAAAAAAATGATTAAGCTTTTTTTTTATGACGGAGCTTTTTTAAGAAAACATATGAGATTCTTGAATACTCTTAAGGTGATGAATTATTTTTTAAAGAATTTTGTTAAATGGATGGAGAAATTTTAAAAATTATTTCTAATATTTAGATGTTAAAATTTAAAAGACCATTAGAACCAAAACCTTTAGGATATTTTTAAGATTAAATGATACTATCTTTTTGGATGGGCGTGTGGAAGTATTATAACATTTCTTATACATAATTAAACTCCTGAACCCCATTGTAACTAGTAGACCAGAAGTTATTTTTAAGAAACTTAGGTCAAGCTTAGGATTTCTTCAAATAATAAATTTCTTAGGTGACCAATCATACCTTTAACAAAAAAAATTGATAGTGACTTCTTAAGTTTTACCTATAATAGGTCTACAAATCTATACATTGTAACATTTTTCCTAGCAAAAGGAGCATCAAGTCGTTATGACATTTTCCCTAGCAAAAGGAGCATCGAGTCTTATTGCATAAGGAAATCTTTCACCTTTTTTTGCTAAGGCATGAAACTAGTCTTCCCATCTCAATTGTGAAAGTTGTAGAATTAGTAAGTTTCAACATCTTATGGTAAATCTTGATCTAACAGAACTAAAGCTTTGATATCATTTATTAAAAAATTATCCAAGAAATGGCAAATAAAAAACTATAGAGAAATTAAACAAACGAAAACAAGAATTTATGTGGTTCGAGCACTTGCCTACATCTACGAAGTAAATATAGTTCTTCTACTATTGAGCAATTCAAGACAATAAGATCTCTCTCAATGGTTACCAAACCAACCCAAAGGCCCTTTGTGCACCTTATCTTAATATCATCATAAGCACAATTGCCCCAACTCACTTCAAGTTTAGCTTCTTCTAGAGTCAAAGACTGAGTTAGAAGGTTTTTCTCGCTAAAACTTCCCAAAAAACTATACAATTTCTAAAGTTTAGAGAATAACTTTATAATATAAAAATCCCAAGTAGAATAAGATTCGAACTTGATGTGAGATAAGCAATAAGATCTTAAATTCTAAACAAATTCAAATTCTACAGTTCTTCTTATTAAAAAACATACACCATAAATATTATTTTCTGAATCAACTCGAAGATGCATTTGCCACAATATTTCAAGTTATTGTCAGTTGTAAACTTTTTTCAGCTACTTGAAAAGATCTTGTTGCGGTTGTTATTGATAAAGATAATTTGTCAAGAATAACATGTTGACTTCTGAGGGTGAATTTTGGCATATAATCTAGTACAAAAGTAGTAAAAAAGATGTTGTTCAATGAAGTAAAATTTAACAAATTCCACGCCTTCTTGATAAGAATTTACAAATTGTCGAGTGATTCATAGCTAACTTGCTGTACATGTTATCACTTTCCAAGATTGCCATAATGAATTCGAAAGAGTGGAATTTGTTTTTATCATTGGCATATAGACTTATACAAAAGCGGTTGAGAGATAAACAAAAGATAGAATTTTTATTTTTGCCATATTGATGCGGTTAGATTCTCGCTTGTGTTTCGTTGGATTACCCCAAACTCTAACAACATCACACTCCCAACCCCTTGGAAGCCAACATCAACATGTCTAGATTTAAAATTGTTATTATAATCATGCTTGTCAAATACGGATACATGACTCCCATGAGCTTTCGCAATGTTTGTTGATCAATTCCATAATATATACTGTTTTATCTACCCAAACCTTAATGAACACTAGTTTACCTATCCAGCTCCCCTAAATAGTCGGAAATTTTCCTCCACAATGATAGAGTTAAAATATCTATTGCTTTAATTCTTCTTACAAAAATATATAATGTTGTATCTAATTATATGAAAATTGGCGCTAGTTTATGAATAGGGGTTGCTTTGCTAGTATCTATGGGATCTAAATTATCAACACTCCCCAAGCACGTTAAAAATTCATTTTAGGGTTCCTCCATCGACTATAGAACAATTAGAGGAGCTCCCACGTCGATCACTTTCATTCATCTCATTAGACCATTTATAACGCTCAAAGCTGCAACTCTAACTAGATTACTTGCTAATAATTGTTGTATCTCACGTTACATTAATTTGTTGACAAATAATATCTCAACCCTTAACTATCAAAGTGTTGTAAATATTAGGCATCTTACCCGTAGGAAAGGATACGTCAAATACTGAGCCAATGATTGGAGAAATATGTTCCATATCTTCTTTTACAGGTGTGGAAACTCCAAAAACAAAAGTAGTAACATTTATTCTAATAATATAATAAAATGAAATATGTTAATTTTTTAAAATTATGTAATACAAAATAAATCTTCAACGTCAAATTGATCGATTCATTCAATAAGAAATGTGTCAACGCTTGATTTCGTTGGTACCATTTATAATTCAATTGGATTGTTTCGTTATTCAATAAAGGAGCCTTTAAGTTCAATCAACCTATATTCAAATTATGAGGTGGATAAATAAAAATTTGGGGCTTTCATAGGCAATACCATCCTTCCATATTTTCTAAGACAATTAAACATGGACTCATTTACAATTCCTTATTTCTATCTCATTTGCCCTTATTTTATTTTGTATTTTGTTTTAGCATATTGACTTTTTTTTTTTTTTTTTCATTTCATGAGCGAACTACACTTATTTTCACATCTAGGATTTACTTTGTCACCATATATTATTGTGAGTTTCTTATTTTTTATTATTGGATTTATATTATTTATTATTTAATTTATAATATATCATTTATATTAGTAGATATTATAATTTAATAATTTGTTAATATATTTATATATTATATTATTTGTATATAATTTTAAATATAATTTTATATCATATTAATTATCTTAATATTATTGTTATATACTATTTACATATTTCTAATATTTTATATTCCATTTTGAATTTCAGTGAAAAAAAGTAAGGAATATCGAACTAAAAGTAAAGAATTATAAACTTGAAACACACTTACTGAGTTACACCATACATATGAAAGAATATTTAATAATAATGAATTTGGCGAATTAAATGACATGGTCTAATAAAGAACATTTTGGATTAGTGGATAATTTTAAAAAAATTTCTTCTTCTAGAAATATCCTTTAAAATACGTTTTGATAATAATTCGCCCAACGTCGTTGCGACAACCTAAAAATTGGCAAGGGAAAAGAAATAGAGGAATAGACAATAAAGCTAAACGCCTATGATAAAGCAAATATACCAATAAAGAGAGAAAATAGCTAATTTTCTTTTTCTTTTTTTTTTTACACTTGGAAAGTAATATTTTCAAATAAATGAGTCATCAACAATAAGTGAAAACACCAACATTTTAATCAAAACAAATTTAGAAGCAAAACAACATTAATAGATCAATTAAAAAAAGGGAAAAGTTCCCTTCCACAAAAAAAAAAAAAAAAAGAAGTTTAAAGGACGGATCACGAGTGTATGATAGGGCACATAAACGTGAAAAATAAGAGCAAGCTGGTGGGAAGCAAACTGAAATGTGATAGTTAATTACTTACAAAGTAAACAATAGAAGGCAAAGCTTGAGACATTTACTTCAATTAAGAGCATCACTTCTCGAAAAGACATGGCACCTCCCGAGTAACTAAGGGGTACCTCCTTTTTTTTGTTTTGTTTTGTTTTTTTTTTTTTTTTTTTAACATTCCACTTAGAGATTATTTAAGAAACAATTTTCATTTCCAAGCAAGCGTGAACTGTCCATAGGACATCATCATTCCGAAGCAACCTAAGCACTCTCCAAAGTCAATAGCATTCAAGGATGGAATCACTTTTTCATAAGCAAATTCTCTGTCTCTCTCTCTCTCTCCCAAGCAGCCAAGGTTATCCGCACGTTAGATTTTGAAACTTACAGACAAAATAAAACTTAAACTCTTTAGCTAACTATGCACCCTCTCATAGGGAATTTGGTCACTCTCTTCCTCCAATAGGATCACAATTACGCATTGACCTACTACTTTTATTGATTATATTGAAAGTTTACTTGCTATGATAAATTTGCCCAGTTGTTGAAGAAAATGTTGTTTGATAGATGAGTGAATTCATTTTCTAAAGAATTGGAAATCTATCTAGAACCGAGATACCTTCTGGTCACCTTCAATATTTTCAAACTACAGGCACCCTAAATCTTTATACGTTATGATGAAATCAAACGCCAATATCATTTGAGCCAAGCCAGGAATCCAATAAAAGAAAAGGTATTCTGATAATCATCAAACAATTGACAGAACTAGAATAACGAAAAAGTAGTACAAGATGATGGTAAATTTTTTAAAAGAGCTATTATCTACAGTACAACACAGCAAACAAATTAACATATAATTTATCAAACCAACTAATTCCTAATAAGCAGCCACTTTCTCTGACTTTAACTTCAATTGAATTGTCTCGGAATATATATAATGGAAGCTTACTTGGGCATGTATGCAATGACTATCAATAATTACAATGATGTAAAGGATACATATTGATCCATTCATTCACATACAACAACATGCATCTATCTATCAAATATTCAATGGAACAAAACACATGCCAAATCCAAAAGCAAAAAAACAAACCAAGGAAGTGCATGGTTTTGTAGTCGTCGGACATTAAGAGCTTGCCTGTCCTTTCTTTTTCAACTTTAGAGCCTTCTCACTAGACTGGCGCTTTGGAGCAGGCTCCACAAGCAGCAGGCGTGACATCACGTATGCTAAGAGTTCTTCATGGTGTGAAAATGTGAAGTCTAAGTGTGCATACTCAAATTCCTTGTACGATACATCTACACCTCCATCCTTCATCAACTTATAGTGCTTTGTGATCATTGATGAGTTGATTATTTGGTCCTTCTGGCCAGCCACCAAATCAACAGGAATATCAATAAGTGAATAATATTCACCCAAGTCTATTGGCTCCGGAGATCCATACACCTCCATATTGGCTGATGTACTCCCATAATCATACATTCTAAATTTTCTCGTGCTTTTTATTTGTGCAAGGTGGTGAGTCACACGAAATGAGAGGCCCGGCATGTCATTCATATTAAAATGAGGTAATCCCAACACCCCAACCCAATTTGAGCTATCTCCACCAAAGCCATAACTCAATAGGGTTTGAACCAGTCCCCCGACAGCAGGGTAGTTATGTAGGTCCCTAGCCAACTTGTTAAACAGCATACGAAAGAATCTGGTTGGTATATAAAAGGCAGGCACAAATGGTGCCAGAATAGGAGCCAAAAGAAGAAATAGATAATGCGCCACTGTAAAGAGAAAATTAGTCTCATCGTGGAAGCCTGCAGGTGAAAGTAAAACTAATCTCGAGAGCCTGTGAGGCTTCTCTTTGAGCCGGCGTGTTACAACATACATCAGCATACCAGCTCCACCCAGGCTATGAGAGATTGCACAAAGTTTGTATGGCTGCTCATCATTTGTTTCTTCATCAGGTTTGCTAATTTTCAATTCAGCAGTTTTAATTTCATGAATCTTCTCTATCATAGCCGGAATATCCTGTGTCCCATGCTCATTTATGGAGTATCGCCAATATCTAAGTCAAAATAGATCATTTTAGTTTTTTTTTTTTTTTCCAAGGAAAAGAGGGGGGTATAAACAATAAATATTTTGAAAACCAACAAGATGAAGTGCTACTCTCTTGAATAGAACTTCCAAATTTTTGTGGTTGGCAATTTTGACCATTTAAAGACAGATAACCAATTGTTAAAAGGAATGGATCAGCTCCAACCTAGTGATCGCATTGAAATATTTCATTCTTCAATTTCCAATTTCAATGTCTGATAAAAATGAATCAATGCTATTGACAGAGAAATCATATACACTTACTGTCGCGAGGAGATATTTTTATCCACATGCTCCCTAGAGACTAAACCACGAAAATTCCCAAGGAAGACATCGTAACCTGTAATTAAAGCAATAAAACATTACACTGCAATTGTATAATAATGTGCTATGAATAAGGTAAATACTCTCGAGAATAAGACAAACCTTGATCAAAGGCTGCAAAAGCTGGAGAACCAACAACGCCATTTGAAACCCACCTGCACAAACAAATCAACTCATAAGAACATAACCAAGTGAAGTATTTTAGTAAATAAGGAAAAGGAATAAATTGCAATTAGTTGGGAAAATAAATAATATGGTTTCGACAATATAAGAGGAGGAAGAAGAAAAGAACAATGCTTAACACGACACAATGCAGAGAGGGATCTATGTTCATAGGCATCCCGCACAAATATTCAAGTCTTCGATAGATGTGTATATTTCCAGACAAATGCTGACCCAAATCAATCAATTCTACTTTAATTTAGGAATTGTTGACACATATGTACATGGATCTTCTTCCTCGACTCATTCCAGTCTAAAGTGACAGAATCAGACACAAGAACTCAGAAGTAATAATATTTATTAAATAGTATCCACAGTATAATGACCGAAATTATTCCTTCAATGCATAAAATAGCAGAACTATTAAATATGGACATCATTTTCTAAAAGAAACCATCACACAAAAAAGTGGATGTGAGAAACAACGGCACTTAAAATAATCCCTAAGAAAATATTGGTATTAAATTCGCTTGCAAACTGAAGTTTGCATTATCTTTTCAAATTTCACATGTGAAATGCAAAAGTCATAATTCATGAAGCATCTTCATTTTTAAACTTATGGCATGAGCGCTGGCTGTAAGCCGGTAAACTATTTTACAATTTACTGTGACATGAGAATCATAATCATTCTCTTTTCTATGCTTCAACTATACTACAGATTCAAGCAAGAGTTTCACCAGTATGATTGAGTGGATTGTCTTCCATGAGGAAAAGAGAACTTCATGCTCATCCAGTTCACTACACCTAGCATGCTCAAAGAGCTAGGTTCAAGGCCCCCCTTCCCCCAAAATTATAAAAAAAAAAACTTCATAATTACTGTGTACTATTCTCATATCATTCTTGATAGAGAATGAAGCAAAAATTCACATAGCTAATAGCTAGGTTCAAAGCCCCCCTTCCCCCAAAATTATAAAAAAAAAAAAAAAAAGTCTTCATAATTAATATGTCCTATTCTCATATCATTCTTGATAGAGGGGAATGAAGCCAAAATTCACATAGTCAATTCCATTTACTAGGGGCTAAGACTCGATATTCTTTAGCAAATGTTGGCCCTTTAATTAAACAACCAGAACAAGTAAGTTCATCAATTTGAAATATAATTTTATCTGAGAAACCAGATTTTCAAAATGCAGATAATGTTTTCATCCAAAACACCAGTAACAACAAAACAGTCTAATAATGCTAACCAACATTAAGAATTGATGCTTCAGGGTTATCAATTAACTACTCTTGGAAGTTTGCTCATTGGGAAAACACTAATATCAACATAATACCGGTTGCAGGCAAATGATAACTGAAAAATCAAAACCCCAATAAAAACCCCTTTAAAAGGGTCAAGCATGTAGCTCAATGTAATACATAACCAGCAAAGAAATCACAGCAGAGTGGTAGGCAGACTGTGGCTTGTTACTTACCCCATAGATGAATCCAAAATACCATGCTGTAGATAGACAGTCTTCCGTGCATCACGTCTGCAATATCAGCCTATATGTATCAAGAACAATAGCATTCAAGCAAAAGTGATAATCTGAAAAGAAAACAAACTATTATACCTAGGTATTCTTTCTAAAAGGAGAACATATCCATCAGCAGTGATAACATGAATAGCTTCATATGGGTACCTAAAACAGGAAGATGAGGTAAGAAACCAACAAAAGACATGCAAAATTCCCGGGAAAAAGAACAGAAAATAAAAAAATAACACTGCACTTACCCTAGCTCTGCTATGACATCCTGACATGTTCGCGCATCAGTGTTAAGAGCTTGGTGAAGAGTAAGATTCCTTTCTGTAGGAGCTGGATTATTATCTCCAAGAGTAGCTGTGGGAACTGAAGCATTCAAGACATCATGATCAATGCAGATGAGAGATGAGAACCATCTTACAAAGATTCTAAAAACTGCAGATGGGGAGAGCACCCAATGCACAGCCTTGTGAAACATATCAAATATAGCTTCTATGAAAATCTCAATTGCTAGATGAAGATCCTGATTGACATAGCATCACGATGAGTAAGTAAAAGCTATGAAAAAATAATTGCAAAATATGAGGCTATGCAAAACAGAAAATAATGAGGCAATGAAAACAGAAAACTTCAAGAGGCAGTAAGATGTTAATCCGTGTAGAAACCTCAATGACTCCACGCCTCCTGTCAGTGGTACGGTGAACAACATGATCCTTGGAGGAGTGCACTTTCCTAAAGGAATGAAAATTCCTAGGACGGGGGCTTCCTGGATCTGAAGAAACCTTTGATCTCCGAATATTTAACAAACGGAAAAGAAGAAACAGTACCCCCAGCAGAAACCTAGCAGGTAACAAAATCCATGAGAATATGTAGGCCATCCAGTCTGTCCAGTGCCAATCATGACTGATGCGAGTGCTTGTTCTGGAGGTTTTTGACACATGAGATGATGGTGATGCAGGGCATATTCCATCAAGATTGTCTTCTCCGGAAGAATAGTCTGTACTTGAAGTATCAGAATCCACAGAAAGCTCATGGATGAAATGGTTGAATGAGGAAACACCACTATGGTCAACAAGAAAAGTCAAAATGTCAACCACTAATTGGTATTACAATTACTTAATATGGTAAAGAAGCTGTTATAGAGTTGAAATTGCTTATCATAAATTCATCAACAATACATCTTCTGTGTTTTTTTTTACTTGCCACAGGCGGGATTGAGAAAAAAGAAAGAGCAATTCCAGATTTTAGACCCTAGAACAAAATTAATTTTGGCTTCTTTTTGCAGGTAGTAGTATCAAGGAAACAAAGTTTCTCAAAGACAAAAAAAGCTCGAATGAAAACCATTTAGTGGCTACTCAAGAAAGAAAGCATGGCAAAAATCCCCCTCCTATCTGTAGTCCTCTTTGGTTTTTAAGATGACAACTTCAAGCAAGAGAGAAGTAAGGAATCTAATAAATTTCTGATGACACCACTTCCTATTTAAACCATTGTGCTTCTGCAGTTATGCAACAAATCTGTCTTCATGACTACCAAATCAAAGGTGCTCATAAGCAATAACATTTAATAATCATATTCTTAAAAGGATGATTACAAATTGATATCCGAAAACAATTCTATTTCGCATTTAATAAGTCAATTAGGAGAGACTCTAAGGAAGTACATTGAACCAATGATGTAAGAACACATTAGTGTCAGCAAGCATCACTAAACTTCTCCAGCAATGCATCTTGGCAAGAAAAATCAGCAGAACTCTGTTTTATCTTTTCATTTAATCTTTTACTACTCCAATAAATAATTGAGGTCAAGCAAAGACAAAGTCAAAATTAAGAAGCAAAGTATGAACTTAAATGATAATGATTTAAACCCCTCTGGCAAGGTTTTACTTAAGCACACAAGTGGCTAATACCAAAAAAAAAAAAAGGTCCAAGATACTTAAAGACATTTTTTCTCATCAAAATTAAAAAAAAAAAAACATACTTTTCCATCCAGCGTGGAAATCGAGGTCCGTGAAAAGTTGGCCTAAGCTCCCATCCTTGAACACCTTCAAGAATATTTGCCTTTCCAGGAAGAATGGTCAATAAAAGTGCTGAGAGTCCATTTATCGACCTTGCAATATTGTTCAAAGACTCGTATGTAAAAGTCTTCACCGACCTGCATTAAAATAAAAACAAATTGGCTACTCTTTTCCTAACCTAATGAAAAAAAAGGCTCTGATAAAACGGTGCTTTAGGAAACTAATTACAGTTACTAGCTCTTACTAAAAAGGTGGAAATATACATGCATTATAATTGAATGAAGAGTTCACCAAAAAGTGAAGCGGTAAAATTACCACAACAATCACAGGGAGCTGTACCATGCATGCAATAACACTGTGGCAAAAGCTAAAAGTGGTTTAATTATATTTAGACAGGATCATCAACGTGAAATTGGGAAGAACAAATTGGTTCAAATGCAGTTCAAAATGTTAAATGATACCAAGCTGCAAAGGGGTAAGCCTCAATTGCAGTGATCATATAAATACAAAAGACTGTTGGCTAAGCTTCCGCTATTCATCTATATCAAGAAAGCTCTAAAACGGAGTAAAAAGAAACAAGCTAATTAGGTCATGAATAGCTCATCGAACTAAAGATGTTTTCAACTATTCTTTTTTCCATTATTCAACCACCCCCAGTATCATCTATCCATCTCTAATTCCTTAACAAAAAATGAAATTCTTGATAGAATAAATCTTTAATTATTTTATTTCTTTATATATAAAGATTCACCCCATAATAATAATAATAATAATTGAATGGTTCAATTTGATAAAATTCTCATCTAAATAATACCCAGAAAATGCTATTAATTAATTTTTTTTTCCTTTTCTCGAACTTGATTCAGCTAATAAAAGCTCCCAACTACTTCTCCCAAAAATAATGCTAATAAAATTTTAAGTAGGATCCCTCAAAAATCCCTTATCAATCAGAGAATATCCAAAAATCCAAAAAATCCATGAGCAGCTGAAATGATCGTATAAGAAAGAAGCTGATGCAGAAAACCAATCCGACACAAGCATATACGAATATACGTATAAATATACGGAGAGAGAAAAAGAGAGACAACTCACTCTTTGGTAACAGCGAGGGCGTTGTCAACGAGTCGCTGCATAATACTAATAACAAGAATTTTGTTCTTCCAATATTCGAAATTTTCGATCTCTCGATTTCCGCAACGAAAAAAAACAGCAAAACCAGAATTAAAAGAAAATCAACATCGAAGATTTTGGAATCGGTGAAACGGAGACAGAGAAAGAGATTGAAGGAAAGCTAAATCGGGATTATTTTTACAGCGGCGATTCTTGCCGTACGAACGAAGGAAGTCAGTTATAACAATCACGCCTTGTATTTGCGGTTGTTTTTCCAAATTTTTAAAAGGTGGAGGGGAGATCCCACGTGGAGGATTGTTATTGGGTGACTTCATAAGAGTCGTATTCCTGGTTCTACATGTGGATGAGTTTGGCAAGGTCAGTGACTCGGTGTCGACGCTAAATTGCGTCGGCAATGCAGTCGTGTGGTGAATCAGGACCGTTGATGGGTGTCAGGTTCAGGGCTCAGATAGGGTACGGGATCTTTGATCGGATAATGATTGGCGCTGCACATGGGACCATTGCGAAAGGGCCAGATTTTAGACACGAAAATGCGGGGTCTCGACGTGGAAGTACAAACAGGATACACAATACAGCCGTAACATAAGCCAAATGAATTGTTTTTCTTTTAAATATTATTTTGATGAAAATTTTTTACTTTATACATTATTTTCATGAAATTCAAAAGAAATAATTTATTAATTATATTTTTATAAATATCATTTTAATATTTTTTAAAAATTTCGTAAATGATATGTAAATCAATTATTAAATATAAAAAGTTATAAGATTATATTTTTTAAAATATCAACAACTGTTGGACAAAAAAAAAAAAACTTGCATAAAAAATATATGAAAATATTTATTTCTTTTGTATATGATACTTTTATTTCTTTTTTTATTTTTTAATTCGTTAAATCTTGAATTTGAGATAAAAGTAAGATATCTAAAAAAAATATGATATTCAAAATTTTATTTAATTTTTAAAATATTTTATTTTCAAATTCAATTATTTGATTAAAAAATATTTATTTATTAAATAATATATATTTACTATAATTTCATTGACAATTTATAAGTAACTTTTTATTTTATTTTAAAAAAGTCAATCGACAAATGTAACTTTTATCATTAAATGAAATATAAAGATTTATTATTTTTTAAAATTAAATATATTCAATTACAATATTTAATTACAAATTATATCATAATTGAGTTTATAAAAATATATAAATTGTATGGTTGGAGTTTATATAAAAATACAAAAAATCAAACTTTTAATTACGGTATAATGTGAAAGAAAAGCAGCCTAACAAAAATGTTATTCCTCTCAATTACAGCGTTTCATTTTTAAAAAATACCTCAATTAACTTGTTTTAAAATTAATTATGGCGTTTGTTTTATAAAAACGCCATAATTGACAGAATACCTGAGAGTTCTATTGCCATTCTCTCTAATTCTTCAATTGCCTCATAAAAGCCTTTACTCATTTCGTCTTCATCATCACTCATTAAATATTGATCCAATTGCACCAACTTAAGCAGCCTAGATACTCTTGTTTTTGGTTATCTTTTCCTAAGAACAAAGTTTGGATTTTGGTGGTTGCAGATCCACGTTGAATTCTAAAGCTAAGTTTCGAAATGAAAGTTCGATAAAATTGAGGAGCCAGAAAGCAGTGTCGTTGAAAAGTCAAAGATAATTTAGTCAACAAAGTGAACCAACAAGCAAAGACCATTTGTTGGGCATGTGAAGCGTTTCGTTGCCTCGACGTAGAAACTTTCAACAAGTGAGCTCTAGTTCCCGTAAAATAAAGAAAAACCCAGAGATAGAGTGTAATTTTTATTTAGGTTAAATTTAAAAATCAAGCAATTTCATTCGAAATTTTAAAATATTATAAAAAAATAAATTTTAGAATTTTAGAATTTTGTGTATCGTTAAAAATTTGATATTTTATTTAAGAATCAGATAATTTTAAATCAAATGTAAAAATTAAATTTATTTAATCAAGATTCCCAATAAAAATTTTTGAATTCTTTTAAACCAAACACCCTTTAATGTAATATTTAGTATTTGATTTTTTTTAATTTTTTAACAATTACGTTACACCATGATATTAAAATATGATTGTTATTTAAATTAATTTGAACATAAGAAAAAAATTGATTGAAGTGAGAAAAATATCTTAGTGCATTCTTATGCTCCGTGCCAATGCTTATTATGTCTTCAAGTGGGATTCAAATTTTATTCTTTGTTGAGGTATGAAATATAGATATGAATTTGTTTATTTATTTAAGATTTGATGCAAGTTATTTTTAGATACCTATATATAAGTGATCAAGTAGCTTTTTCCCTAATTCAGTGTTTTTTCTCTCTATATTTGATTACATTTATTTTACATGACCTACAACTGAATTCATTTGTCAAAGTTTTTGATTGCCTAAATATGCTCAATATATATATATATATATTGTTTATTTTATTTATGATGTCAAATTGAGTTTATGGAAAGTCTAGGATATGAAATATGGAAAACTACTTCATTCTTAAAAGTTATGGATTCTTTTGATTTGAAAGAGAAAGTTAGCTATTGTTTTAATATGATTTCATCAACACTTTCTACTTTCATTACTTGTTTGGACAAAGTTGCCAAGAATGAATCAACCACCTCGCAAAAGCACATGACAAGTTGACAACATTACAAAATCATACACGATACTTGTCACATATTGTATAGAAAAAATGAAAGTTTTGTTTCTATGTGTTATCACTATAATTGTTTGAATTTATGCGCAACTGACGTTATTTTCATATAATATTAATATGAATTTATATGCAAGTGACAATATTTAAATTAAGCTCAAACTAAATAAATTTATATTATGCTATTGATATAACATATATATATTTACAATCTAACGTGCTATTATTTTTCCTCGGTACCTAAAATGATGACATATGCCAACTTTTGAAATTTTCAACCTTATTTTTTCTTAGCTTTTTCTTTTCCTTTTTTGTTTCATGTCAATAACTATTTGTACGAGGAATCGTTTTTTTTTTTTTTTAAATAAAACATTAATAGGTGTTCTCAACTTTTTGTGAAAAAAAAAAAAGAAATTTTGTTGTGTTTCGAAAAGAATTTTAGTGGGTGTTCTTCTAATTATTCTGCCTCATTCTTCTCAACTTCTTTATCATCAATTAAATCTTTTCGTTTTTTAAGTTCTTTGAATACTAACAATGTCTCACATTTGGTTGTTAAATTTAAAAAAAAAAAAAAAAAGAACGAAATGCCACAACGTTTCTAATCGATTCAATCCCCAATTCCCTTTTACAAGCATTTATCAAACATTTATAGGCCCCAATACATGGTTATTGAATTCTCACAAATTTTCAACAAAATCAAGTAGCTAACCGTGCAGTGTTGTTCATATCATTGTGATCCATCCCCTATAATCTAAGGTAAAAAAAAAAAAAAAGATTTTCAAAATCTTATTCTTTTACTTTAATACGCAAACCATCTTCTCTGTCTTAAATTTATCGTTTAAATATTTTTTAATATTATGAGATATTATTCTAAATTTTCAAATAGCATATTTAAGATTTGCCATATTTATAGTTTCTTTCATTCAAACACAAAGGTATCGAGGCATAATTTAAACTTCAAAGCAAATAATTGGACGTCTTTTAATTTCAAAACTTTCTGCCTTTGTATTTAATACAGGTGAGTTGCAAGAAATTGGAATTAAGACCTCCATTTGTTTCTATAAGTTTTAAACAAATTTTATTTATTGTTCTTGCAATTGCACTTTCAAACCTTACACGTTCAAACCTTTACATGTTTCTTTATTTATATTATCTTTTCTCCCATTTTGGAAGCTAAAATGGAAAGCTTATTTGTTCTTTTTGCTAGCTTAACCCAAAGAAGCTCTGTTCATATAATTTTATCTTTTACTTTCCCTATATATCTCTCTTGAAATATCTATCCCTTCCTATATGTATATGATCATATATGTATATGATCACTAAAAGATGACAATACGTATTTGCAAATGTTTTAATTCATGGATTAATGATATATTTATTATAGTTATTTGTAACTCCTATATATGTGAAATTCTTTAGTGCGTTGGGGGTAAGCAATATATATTCTTTAGTGTGTTGGGAGTAAGCAATAAGATAGTAATAAATAAAATAAGATCATGACATTGGGAGCATGAATTCTGACCCATATATCCAATTAGGATTAAAAACAATACAAGCTTTATATTCTACCTTAATACAAGACCTTTAAAAAGTTTGTCAAAATTTTTATTACAAAAAAAAAGTATATATATATATATATATATATATAAAATCGTAACAACGCACAAAAATCTATCTAGCATATATTAATTTATTTGCTTCAATAAAGATATGGGAATATGGATTTGAGTTTGACTTCTCATCTCTATGCATAAATACCCGAAGCGACCGGTGAAATTCTAGGTAGCAAAATCCATATATATATATATATTATCAATCCTGATCCAGAGAAAACTTTTACGTTATATGTATTCGGATGTCACATAAAGAAAAAAAACGTGAGGAAAAGAGAGAACTTGAACGTGGATATGGGTAACAGTCCAAAAATTTAATGTCACTGCCTTTCTTGAAAACAATTAAGATGTACATCCAATCAAAGCCATTACCCAAGGCCTTTACTTTTGGTTTTATTGTGAAATGAACAAATGCTTACATTTCCTATCAAAATTAAGACAATTTGCATATATACATAAAGCTGGCTTTATGTATGAAGGCCATGAAATCTATATTAAATTATAAACATCTAAGCCAAGAGGCTTATAATCCAAAAAAGACTAAGTCAAAAGTATTAAATATTAAACAAGTAATATTGGAAAAGATGTTCCTCAATTTATTAAGATATTAAAAAGCTTCTTAAACTTTAACATGTTCCAATAGGTGAGATTTGAGTGTTTTTTTTTTTTTTTTTTTGGTTTATGTTTATCAAAAAAACAAAATAAACGTCATGTTATAATATTTTTGACCTTTCATCATCCAGTCGTTGTAGTATAGTGGTAAGTATTCCCGCCTGTCACGCGGGTGACCCGGGTTCGATCCCCGGCAACGGCGTTTACATTTTATCTTTTCCCTTCGGTTTTCATAAAAGTTTTTTGGTTTTTTAGCTAACATGTCAGGAAGATTAAATAAGAGCAATCGAAAGTTTGGCCTCTGACTCCTTCAGCGGAAAGGCAAATCGAGGAGAAAATAATAATAAATAAATAAAGGAAATTTGAAGAGAGGCTGTCCCTCATCTTCTTCCCTTAACCTTCCTAAGCCCTTCAACCCAATCTATCAACAAAGAAAATCATGAAATTAAGTTCATCAATCTCCAGCATTCGCTTTCTAAATTTTAATTTCCCTTTCATTAAATCTTGTCCTTACTTCAAAATTTCTTCCACACCCAAAAACAATGACTCAATTCCCTAATTTTTTTCTGTCAAAAGTACAAATTCTTCTCCCGCCAATACGGCCGACTCCCAGGTGCGCCGCCCCAGCCCATGACACAGCTTCCGCCTTAGAAACCGCGGCTCTTCTTTGCTCGAATA